GTGGAGATTACCAAAAATAACTTTACGTGTTCATTATCCAGTGCTTATTTATAAAGTGTTACCAAAAGTTTTATTGCCGACAAGAAAAGTTCCTTAACTGCTCATAGATGAATAATGAGTGGAACTGAATAATTGATAAAGAACACACAAAAGAACAACAAAAAAGCTCAGAAAGAATCATCAATAACCTTCCGCAACTTGTTGCGTCGCATAACAAACAACAACAAAAAGTAGATACGATTTTTATTGTAATTATTTTCGCATGTGTAAAGTACAAAGCCATAATTGGCGAAATAACAATAATGAACAACAAATAAATAAAAAGAAAAAAGAAGACAAGAAGTTGTAGACACACAAATAAATATTTACGCCTTGGATTTAATTTTACGACTCGCATTAAGTTTTCGTACTCAACCACCGACACGATATGAATTAAAAATCTTAAGAATCAATCACAGATGACGTCAATTTGCTTATTAGGGACATTTGTGTTTCCGGAAGACCAATAAATCAATGGGTTAATGTAACAAAGCTGCCTTAGGAGCCCAAGAGGTTGAGATTAGTCAAAAATTCCAAATGTTAAAGACCCAAGTTGCTGAACAAGCCCCATCCACAATATTTAATGCATAAATGCTTTATGATTCATGGATTCGATGTCATAAGAGAGAAACAGCAAAAAAGTTGGCAACAGTGCGAAATAAATTTAATTTTATAATGAGAAACACGTTCGATTGACTTAAACATGAAAATTCACAATCATGTCGACAACGTACTTCCCGATTTACTACAATTATTCTCATTCAAATAATGAATATTGTTTAATCTTCATCTAAAACCAATTTTTTTTTTATTGCAAACTCTTCCTTTCATTGTTCGTTCCGGGGCTTGTCAATTTCGGACATTGATTTCAATTAGAAAATATGCCATATTTTATGTAATCGGCGTTTTAATGTTTTACAATCGATTTCTGGTACTGTACTTCTCATTTTCAACTAGCTTTTTTTTAGAAACTTATATAAGACCATTGAGCATAGCTGAGTTTTTCTTATATCATAGTTTTAGGCAAAGCAAGTTTTTTAAGTAGACTGTGTGATTTCGAGTGTAAATCAGCTGATTTATGGATCTAGCATTACATTGAGACTACGTCTAATAAGCACAATTTATATGGACATGATTCAGATAATCTTTGACATTGGTTGAATGTTTTGTGATATTTCCAAGAATGTTCTAAAAATCTATGCTTAATAAATTGATTTAAAGTTGAAAAAAAATCGAAATTTTCAAATAAATCAATTTTGAGCTAGAAGCTTACCCGTTCCAACTTTTCATAACCTGGTAAACTTTATATCGAACTCAAAAAGTCATAATTTGTTACTTAGCAGCTCTTAATACCCATAATAAATGCATTAATTAACTTCAATATATCTTTCAAGTGCCATAAATCATACTCTTTTCGCTAACAGAATCCACAAAGTTAAATGTGATAATAAACAACAAGCCTTTAATTATTATTCAGCTTATATAAATTTGTATTCATCAGCTTAATTTCCAGTTGTTCATTACTTCATATGCCGTCATAATGTCACTGACAAATTGGGAAATTTAATATGCATGTTAATTGATAACATGTAAAATAAAGTTACGTCGATTAAATGTGCAATCGTTATGCGCTTCGATCAGCTATTTCTGTACACTGTTCAGCACAATCATTTACTTTCAATCAATCATGAATTCTCTCTTTGAGTAAATTTCATTATAAAATATAAAATAAATTAAATTGAGAACTATAAGGAAATTACAGGCCCAACAATGAATGCAGCTCATGCAACAATTGTAAAATTAATTGAATTATGCAATTTCCATTACAATATCGACGACGAGCTCGTCATCAATTATGCAGAAAGTAATGTATTATAGACGGAGAAAGATGAGAAAACAAGCGATACTAACTAGGTATTGAGAACAGGCATTTGTTCCAATTCACGTTTGTGACTCATGAAAAGCCTTTAAAGTTAGTCCACGAGGCGAGCTATAAAGCTATTGCCATTATCATTATCGAGAAATAACAAAATGACGACCTTGCATTGAGAATATTTGATATTTGTACATTAAAACTAAAGCACACAATGGAAGATATCAGGAAGTAATATCATTTGATATGTCTCGCTCTGTTCTACTCGTAAGTATCGTTACATTATTATTGCAATTACGATTCAATTTTTTTTGCCAGCATGATTCTACTTTGTAGGGTTGTCACTTTGTCTAAAATTCTGTCTGAATCTAGTAATAAAGTCACTAGCTATATGCAGTTGTATGCGTTTTCGTCACTAGTGACGACGTCTATAAAAAGCTACTCATTTGTTTGTGTTGTGTTTCTAGATTCACAATTACTGACGTCACAAAAGTAAGTATGTGAGCCGAAATGAATAATAACAGCAACTCCTGTAATGTTTCCTGTTGTGTTTCACATTTATCGCACTTTTACTAAATTTAAACTTGCAACAAAAAAAGTAATAAATGTAAAATGAAAATGTGCAAACGTGTCTAAAGCTCACAATATGATTAAAACTGTTTTTAACAGGAAAAATCTATTCAATTAGATATAAAGATAGAAGTATTAAATGAATAATAAATTAGATCTTTGTTGAATACATAAAAAAAGCCATAAAAATACACATACTAGTTCTATCCATGAGAAATTTTAGCAACAATGCAAATTAAACGTACGCAAATTGTGGATTTTTTTTTCAACAATGAAATTTGAATTTTTTGTTCATTTTGTCTAATTTTAAAAGAAGGTCGGCATTGTAACTGTTGAGTTGACATTCATAAATGAAGACGTCTAAGTTTTTCCTATTGTGACTGTCGCTCTTCATTCGATAAAACTTTAAGATGCATTCAAGGTCAACATTTATGATTCAAAACTAGCTCAAGAAGGTCTAAGGTTAGAAATGTGAGTCTAATATGAGCAAAGGATGCCTTGAACTATTCAGAATGGCTTTAAATCGAGTATAAAGATCTCAATAAGTTTCAGCTTAATTGAATTGATCTCAATCGTTCAGTTTTGAAAAGATGTTGAAGGTTTAACTTTTGTTAATTTCAGATTATTAAGGTTTTTTGGTCTTGAAACCTTTTGAGGGATGCATTCGTAAATGACGCCATAAAAAGGAAGAGAAAGGGGTTAATTTGAAGAGGTCTAAGGCAATGTGGAGCTTAGGTTACAACAATGGACTTTCCATGAGACTAAGTCACCTAGTTCGGAAAGCTTCTTTGTTTGCATGTTTAACTGACATTCTTTCATCACTGTTCTGCGCCAAGTAGCTCTTAAATCTGCTTGTCGATACCAATTCAAAGACATTATTCATAAATAGTCCCTAACTCGTGTCATATTATAACTTTATTGATTAAACTAAGTAATCTTCTGTATTCCAGTCTAAACTAGATATATTTTGCTGATAAATTAGACAATTGTTGCTAAACGTTTAATCTCAATTTTTTTGAATCATTACAAATTAACACAACTTACTTCAACTTATTTACAAATGCCACAAAAATTTACGTTTCTATATCCAAACTTTTTATTTTAATATCTGACGTGTTGAATGTGATAATTTGATTTTAGTTCATAGGAGACATGTGATCGTATAGACACATGATGTGTAATACAATTGTGGTTGGCAATAATCAACTTAATACTCCTTTTTTGCCGTGTCTTTTGCCCCAAAATGTTCACATTATTTTAATGCAGTCATCAACAAGAGAAATTGAACGTGGGAATCTAAACCGCTATAAATTTCCATGAATGAGATCCCAAATCGTGCAGAAAAAATATCTCATTGCTGTGCTTTTAAGTATCTTTCTTGTAAATTTCTTTCCTTCCTTGAAGCGACGAACAAATTCTTTTAATAAGCTTCAAAAGGCACTCGAAAATGAAGTGAATTCGTGGTGTGATAAGAGAAAAAACGGATAGCATTTATTGTATTTTGTTTACGAGTTGTATATATTCACAATGTATTCGCATTGATAAGAAGCAGACAAATAAAATTACGATAATAAATGACTGACTCAATTTGGAGGATTGGTCATACTGTATTACTTTATTTTGATGCTCACATAAAATTTGTCGTAACTTGTTTTTGTCTTCTAATCATGCAGATCATTTGACCTCAAATTAGATTCTCATGACATGAAATAAAAGTGACTGATTAGGATGCATTCAGAAATCTTGCCTCTAATGAAAATTTTATATTTTAACGAGTTTTCTAATTTTGAATTTTTTGAGCGATTAAAATTCATAATAAAATCAAACGAACTTTTCTCAGATTAATCTAATTAACCTATAAGACATACTGATTGATAAGCGTTAGAAACTATCTGTATACATTTAAATATACAGCCTGCGCTGAGAAAATTCACAGAAACTCCAATTCCCTCTTTCCATAATTAGACTGAGATTTATTTAAAATGCTCTAGTGGATATGATGTAACGCCTTCATTTCTATTTATATAAGTAGTAGTTTAATTATAGCCTGGAGATAATGAAGACAGAAAGAGAAAATGCTTCACATTGTCACCAACATCATCTGTTGTTTTGACCTGTTTGCTTACCGTATTTGCACACTCGTAATTATTCGCATAGGACAGAAACTTATCACATGCCATAAATAATTTAATTTTAAAGACAGCAGCGAGACAGAACAAAATTGCGAAATCGTGAGAATGAATTAACATTTGTCTGTGCCTTTTCTAATTGATATTCATCGAAAAGTCACGTCGCCTTATTCGCACAATAGATCCAGTGAATCCAGAATGTTGTTTAGATAAGAAATATTGTGAAATTCTGTATTATCGAAATATTTAATTTTTGCTGGAAGTTTACAGAACTCTGATTATACAGACGAATGAGAAGGAAAACAATGAGAACTTGCTCTACTTATTTTAATCATACGTGATTTTTCTGGGATCTTTTTAGTTTAATCAAAAAATAATGTCTTGCTCACCTTTGGTTTATTCAGCCATTTTCGTAATGAATCCATAGCTAATTTGAATATTTAATTATTTTAGGTATACACTTATTCTTCTTTATTCACACTTTATTAAATTTTCTCAAGTTTTTCTCTATTTTTTTGACTTTTTTTTTAACTTGCAAAATTTAATTTTTCGTCACTTTAGTGCTTAAATTCACATTAAACTTATCACGATAACCACATATTCACTATTTGATATATTGTGTGTGTTGCGAACATTTAATTAAGCAGCAATTTTACGTTTGCTGCGTACAATTCACGATTTAAAATAAGTCTGACTGAAATATTAAGAAAATAAAACTAAGTAGGAGAGTCACAATATTTTGCTCAACTTTTTATTATTGACGCATTTTTTAACTCTGACGCAAATTCCTATGCCTTGGATTTCCTGCCCCTTCGATTTACACTGTAAAATGTTCAAATTTTGATACTGAAAATTCTTAACATTTGTTTACAAAATGAATTGCGAACTGTAAGTCTTAAAAAATCATTAAATCTACTTTAATTAACAAACTTCCAATCATTTTAGCTGCAAATCTCACGAGTTTAAATACACATGTCCACGATGCAACATCAAGTACTGCTCATTAGACTGCTACAAGTCTGAAAATCACAGTCAATGTTCAGAGGCATTTTATAAGGTAAATAATTCTAATCGTTTAGATCCAGTAAGGCTTAAGATTGTATTTGATTATTTTAGGAATGTGTAGTGAATGAGCTTAAAAATCGTAAAGATGATCCAGAGGATAAGAAAAGAGTAATGGATATGCTTCAAAGGATAGAGAATGAGGAAGATTTTGAAGATATAGACTCTGATGACAGCTTTGAGGGCGATTTAGGTGATCGTTTGGATGGAATCGACTTGAATAATGCCGATGCAGTTTGGGACAAATTGACAAAAGATGAGAAAGAGGAATTTAAAAGTATTGTCTATAATGGAGAAATTGAGAATATCGTTGAGCCTGTTGATCTTTGGTGGAAACAGAAGTTAGACGTTAAGCCAGTCGTAGACATTGAAGTAAATGAGAAGGAACTGAATGGCATTATTGAGAAATGTCCAAATGTTCTGGATAATATAAAGGATTTCTCGAAGATATCAACAAAGAAGCCAGCACAATGCATAACTTATAATATAGCCAATATCATAGGAACTTACTGGTAAGCATAATCATTTTTATACAGCATTCAGCTTGAAATAATTGTATTTTTAATTTCAGCTACATATATCGATTCTATAATGCCGACCACAACAGTTATGAGCTTGAAGCAACAAACAACTTCATCAGCATTTGTGATAATCTTAAAGCTAATGTCAATTATGACAGTTTAACATTAGCTGTTGATTCCATTGTGCTCAACTGTCACAACTCTAATTTACAAGCTGATTTAAATACCAAAAATGCTTTAATTGAAGATGTTCAGGACATTTTTGATGGTCCAACAGTAAATTCTAATCAATATCTATTATCAGCACTAAGTGACATAATTAATCTCTTTGAGCATGCACGGCATAAATATAAGCAATCCAAAACAAGACATAAATCCAATAAGAATTCAAAGACATTTTCATTAGAATTTCCAGCGAATGTTGAAAGCAGCCAAAGTTATCCTGAATTAAGCAATCAAACACACTTTACTGGATGTGTGAAAAAGTTAGAATTTTATTTATCATTTCTGAGGCATTCTTACAATTCATCTGAATGGAAAATTGATGTTGTGTGATGGAGGGTTTGTGGAAAACAGCTGTTTTTGAAAAACAGTTGTTTTCGATTTTTGATCTATAAAAACAGCTATTTTTCTAGAATTCAAAATAAACTGAGTTATCCAAAGTGTTACTCTAAGATAATGAAACTTTTTGGTGGTTAAAAGCAGTTAAGCATACATTATAGAGCTAAGCAGGGGCGTAGCCAGAAAATTTTTAAGGGGGGGAGGCATTTTCGAAAATTAAAAAACCGTTATTTTGTATCCTTAAATCTATATTCATTCTTCATAAGTTTAAATATTTAATTCATTATTCATACATTAAATTTAATTTTTCGTGCTGATTTTGACATTTCTTTCATCACTTCCTCTACATTAACTGGTTGGTACTGTTGTTCTTCTCTACAAATACTTAAAAAAACAATTATCAGATTTTCGTAGGGCCCCCCCCCCACCCTGGCTACGCTCCTGGAGCTAAGCATTATTATTTCTTAATTTTTCGTTAATTAACTCTATAAAATATAATACAATATAAAAATTCAAAAAAAAATATTTATACTTTTAAGAAACATTGCATTGTTGCATTGCAAAAGTTCCATAAACTCTAATATTTTATTTGAAATATTCAAAAAAATCTTTCTAAGCAAAAAAATACCTTGCAAAATTGTTGATTATATTTTTGAACTTTAGTAAATGCTACAAAAGGTTCAACAAATTTAAAATTTCGATTGCAAAATTAATAATGATTAATCATAAATTTGATAATGATTTCAAACCTATTAGACATCCAAAAAATATTAAAATAGTAAATACATTTCAATTTGGAATGCTAGAAAAATATATTAAGTTCTTCAAAAAATTAAGATTTTTTTTTTTCTTTAAATTATATGTAAAAATGAAAAACAGAAAACAGATCTGTTTTTGAGACCTGTTTTCTGTTAACAGATTTTTGTCGAAAAACAGCTGTTTTTCTGTTTTCTGTTAACAGGTTTCCCAAACCCTAGTGTGATGTTATGAAATAAAAATGTTGCACAGATCAAACTTTCTTCACATAATCGAAGTTTCAATGTTATGATTTATGAAGCAAGCATTATTGGAGATCAAGCCCAAATTTGTATGTCTTCAAAATCCTGTCTATTATTCGGATTGTATTTCCTATTTGATGGAACTCCATAAATGTGCTGAATTGCCCGAATATCATCTTCACTCAATGTTAAAGTTCTTTTTGAATAGTATCTGGACATAACTGATTCTTCTTCAACTGCATGACCTAAACCTATGAACAACCAAATATTTTTTAATTGCTTCTTTATCTAAGATAATAGCAACATACCTAAACTATGTCCAATATAATGAAGAAGAACTGTAAATAAACTAGTCTTTTCATCTTGAGGCTTACTGTCATAGCTCACTCCGAAATCCCAATTAGTCAATATATTCAAATGAATGTCACCACCGATTCCACTTCCTGGTTGAAATGAATGACCCATTGTGTCTTTTCCAAAAATATTAGGATCAATTTCAGTGTGTTCGAGTTCCTCAAATGAAATCATAATATCGGCAGTTCCTTCTCTTAATTCTGTAAAATGCAAGATTGAATCTTTCTCCCAAACATTAAATGCTTCACGAATTATCCTTCGGATGTTAGCTTCTTCATTTACAAAAATCTCTTTGCCTTTGTTATCAAATCTGTTGCATTAGAAATAAAGCTACAGTAGCGGCCAAAAGTATCCGGACAAACACAAAAATGTCTATAACTTTTGACTGGATGGTCCAATTTAATTCAAATTTTCACTGGAATACGTAAAATCGAATGACAATTAATAAAATATATTATATTACTTTAATAACAAATCTTTAAAACCAAAAATTTTATTTTAAAAAAACTAAAAATTGAATGGACAAAAGTATCCGGACAAAATTAAAAGTTTAAGAAAAAAATACTCTTTACTAAGTGAATGGCTTATAATGAATAGAATTTTGAGTTCTTCTGTTTAGTACTTTGTTGGGAAGCCCTTAGCATCAATTACTGCTTGACATCGTCGCGGCATTGAGTCCACCAGCTTAATCAAAACATCTATTGAGATCTTTTCCCAAGCATCCTTAATTATGGTGAACAAAGCATTCTGATTTGTAGGTTTTCGACCTGAAATTTGTCTCTCTACATGTTCCCAAAGATGCTCAATCGGATTAAGATCCGGACTTTGAGATGGCCATTCCAAAACTCGGATCTTCTTGGTTTTAAAAAATTCCTTAACGACCTTCGATGTGTGTTTGGGATCGTTATCCTGCTGGAAAATCCAACCTCGAGGCATAACACGTTTGGCATGGGGAAGCATTACTCTGTTGATGATATCTTTATACATTTCCTTGTCCATAATACCAGTAACTCGATGAATCGGACCAACTCCATCACGACTAAAGCATCCCCACACCATAACGTTACCTCCACCATGCCTAACTGTCGGTAACTGATACTTAGGATCGTTTCTATGACCCTTTGGTCGTCTCACAAACTTTATTCCATCAGATCCAAACAACATAAACTTTGATTCATCACTCCAAAGAACTTTTGACCATTGCTCGCGAGTCCAATTAAGATGTTCCTTGGCAAATTTTATTCGGGCATTTCGATTCTTAACAGAAACAAACGGCTTTTTGACGGGACGTCGTCCAAACAATTCTGCATCATTCAATCGACGTTTAGTTGTTCTTGTACTCACTTGAACATTGTAATATTCCTTCATTTCTGCATTCAATGTTACAGCACTCTTACGCGGATCAGCTTTCGATGCATTAATTAAAGCCTTATCTTGTCTTGCAGTTGTCTTTCTGGGTCTTCCTGATTTCGGTAACACGTTATGATTATTTCTTTCTCTAAATCGTCGAACAACATCAGCTATTGTGGACTTTCCAGTACTAAATTGACGTGCAATGTCTCTGTAATTTCGTCCTTGATCTACAGCACTAATAATTGCTTTTTTAACTGGTGAACTTAAATATTTTTGAGTTGACATGATAAATATAAACAAAAAGCACAAAATACTTAACAAAAAAGCATTCGTTCAGTGGGAGAGAAGCTTTTTAAGCAAATTTCCGTTAAACTTTTAATTTTGTCCGGATACTTTTGTCCATTCAATTTTTAGTTTTTTTAAAATAAAATTTTTGGTTTTAAAGATTTGTTATTAAAGTAATATTTTTATTAATTGTCATTTGATTTTACGTATTCCAGTGAAAATTTGAATTAAATTGGACCACCCAGTCAAAAGTTATAGACATTTTTGTGTTTGTCCGGATACTTTTGGCCGCTACTGTATGACTCATAAGAGCTCTATATTAGGTTTAATTAATTACTACCTGTAAGTAATACTCGTAGTTGGCCACTTACTGGACAACAACGTGTATCGTTTCTGACGATTCAAATTCGACTTTTCTTCTTCACTTCCATCTTCCTATATTTTCAAAAACGAGACATTAGCTGAGCACATTAAAATTGGGTTTTATTTTCTAATTAGGGATTTTATGAACTTTTCAACTTTTCGGGTTTAATCATGACTCATGAGTTTTTCCGTCTTGATAGGAACAGAAAAATAAGAAGATTCAACAAAAGTTGAGATTTCTTTTTTTAAAATCCAGTTCTGACTGGCTCGAAATTAAAAATGATAAGAATTTACTTAGGTTATCAAATCAAGTAAATACTTTGATATTATTCCTATAAATTAAATTCACCGTTTGTTACTTACATTAAAAACTGATCTTTTTGGATGATTAAACTTTAAAATTCCTCCACTTTGGCTTAAAAATGATTTTTCATTTGTTCTTATACATCCAAAATTTCGAACATCTCCAGAATCTAATTCAGAATCACTTATAGGAATGGCATCGATATTTAAAACAAATGTTAAACTGATTATTAATTTTATAAAATTAAGTTTATTAAGATTCATTTTTAAACTATTAAAAAGTTAAAGATACATCCACACCAAAAGAATAAATGATTTAAAATGAACTTAATTCTCATTTTTGCTAAAATATTTGAGCAAGGAATCTGGAAATTAAAATTTTGGACTTTCTATACTCTCGTTTCTACATATTCTCATGTCTTATTAATAATCATTATCAATGATTATTTCTCCTAATATAAATAAATAAGCAGAATATTAAAATTAGATGCATTAAAGAATAAGTTTGTTTTTGGTCAATATGGGTAAATATTAATTGATTATATCACGAAATCGAGTGATTTTAAGACTAGAATATTTTTTTTAACTTGGACGCTTGATTCACAACTTAAACGTGCGTCTTTTTGTACATAGTGGAATACATACTCTTCCCAATTAGTACATAAGTTCCATTTTGTTAATAAAGCAAAATAAAAATTTACAATTAAAAATGAAAAAATAATGTCAATTAATGAGTTATTAAGACTAGCTGCTGAACTCGTCTCTTCTCCTAAACTCGGATTTTCATCTATTACATCGATAAATTCTTTCCCAACTTCATCCTGCCCTTCCAAATTATTATTCGGACATTTAATGAAGAAAGTTGATGACAGTTTTGGTTTCATTCTTTCCAAAATCATGTTTTTGTTGTCAAATTCGTAGTAGCTTTGATCTTTAAAAAAATAAGTTCTACCATCGCTGTATGTAAATGCAGTCTCCATGTCATAAACATCTTTAAAACTTTCGATTATAATATGTCTGGGTCCAATAAGATTTAACTTGTGATCGTCGAATTCATAATAATATTTCCCGATAAAGATGTAGACTTGATTGATATCAGATTTTTTGAAGATAAAGTCGATCTTTAGTACACTTGAGTCTATACCAAAATATTTCAATTTGTATGACTTCTCCAGTCTATTGTCATCAAAAATGTATACATCTTGGTTTATAAAGAACAAAACTTTTTTATTGGCTGTTTGAAAAACAGCATCGACATGAGTGAGTTTAGATGATAAGCCTTGCCATCGTGATCGAATTTCAGTAGTGTTCATATTCGGACCGAACATAAAGTTTCCTTTGAAAACTATCAACTCATTGTCAATCATTGCAATTGCATCATAAGGAGTGTTACATTTATCTGGGAACACTGTTGCTTTATGTCTTCGTTGAGATGACTGTACGTTTTCTGGTATACCGTAAATATGTTGTAATCCATTAGCATCATCTTGCGACAATATCTTATATCTTTCGGAATAATATCTATTCATCACTGCCGAACCATCATCACTGTGTCCTAAGCCTAAAAAAACAATCAAGGTTAATAAGCTTTTAACTGATCA